TCTAAGTTCCTAAAAGATGGTGCTTCTGAACTGTCAATCCCTATTGCTCACATAATAAATCTATCAATCACCACTAATACCGTACCAGAGGGGTTCAAAGAGGCCAGAGTTACTCCTATCTTCAAGAAAAATAGTAGGTCTGATGTAAGCAACTATAGGCCTGTTAGTATACTCAGTATAATATCTAAAATTCTAGAGAGGGCGGTGTATTCTCAAGTAGTTAAGTACCTTAATGACAACAACATTCTCCATAGCTATCAATCAGGCTTTAGAAGAACCTACTCAACCGACACCTCCCTTATTAATCTGATGAATTACCTGAGAACTGAAATGTCAAAGGGGAACCTCATAGGTATGGTAACCTTAGACCTGCAAAAGGCCTTCGATACTGTCAACCACAATATATTATGTAAAAAACTTCAAGCTATTGGTATAGGTTCTGTAGACTGGTTTAAGTCTTACCTTAGCAACAGGAGACAAATAGTCAAAATCAACAAAACGAAATCAGAAGCCCTGCCGATAACATGTGGAGTTCCCCAAGGTAGTATTCTGGGTCCCTTATTATTCTTATGTTATGTCAATGATATGCCTATCAGTGTCAAGTACAAACTCCTACTGTATGCAGATGACAGTGCCCTGTTAGTGTCAGGTAAAGATCCACAAGATATTGCTAATGTTTTAACACTGGAACTGGAGTCCTGCAGCAAATGGTTAGTAGACAACAAACTATCATTACACCTCGAGAAAACTGAAGCCATTCTCTTTGGCACGAAACATAAACTAAGAAGGGTAAATAATTTTAATGGTCAGTGTAATGGGGAGCCCATCACTTTGGTTTCTTCAGTAAAATATCTGGGAATCCCCTTTGACCCATGCATGTCAGGAGAATTGATAGGGAACAGTGTAGTAAAGAAAGCGAATGCCAGACTGAAGTTCCTGTATAGACAAGCACAGTGTCTACCTACTGAGGCTCGCAGGACCCTATGTCTAGCCCTTATACAATGCCATATGGATTACGCTTGCTCTTCATGGTACTCTGCCTTGACAAAAAACTGAAAGATAGACTGCAAATCACCCAGAACAAAATCGTAAGATTCATCCTGGGGCTGGGACCAAGAGAACATGTAGGCCAGGATGAATTACAGCAGTTGGATATGCTGAATGTTGACAGAGTAAAACAACTGAAGCTAAATCTTGTTTATAAAATTGCTCACAAACAGTGTCCAGAATATCTTGCTGTCAGGTTTGTCAAGGTTGGGAACCAAAGCAATCATAGTTGTGGAAAATACTGTATATATTTTCCAGAAATTCAGTATTTATATGTAAATAGATGGCCATACTGTATTTAATAATATTTATGTCATAGAAAACGGAAAGCCTGCTTCTGGGCAGGAGACTCGCCATCTTGGTTTTTGAATTTTGTACAAAAGTTGGTGTAATGGGAAGAATTTTTCGTGCTCTAGAGGTTAAAATTGTGTTGACACCTCTCAAATAGGAGGCGAAATTGGTGGATGTGCATTCCTGCATAACATGAGATATCAGACGACTGGACAAGACAGCTCCAGGAATCTCAGATAAGCTCTCTAGATTTGTGTGTAATTCTGGCCAGCATTATTTTCATAGATTTAGTTAGAGTGAGGTTTTCTGAGTATGATACACATTAATCTCCAGTCAGATTGGTGAGTGATATTAAGATATATTTTCTTTCTGTTATGTAATTGTGTATATCTATTGTGGAAAATTGCATTTATCTGTATGTATAATTATGTACATAACAATAAATGAGCAAAGATAATTATTTTTTAAATCAGTTAGCCCAAGTGGGAAATTTTTGGGACCCTAGGTCGAAAAAAAATGCCCCCGGTTCGATCCCTTCCCTGTAATATCCACAAGTTGCTCGGACTTTTAAATTTTAAAGAATTATACCACCAAAAATTTGGTAAATATAAAAAATTTATGGACTGTATTTTTAAATTTAAAAAATTTGTTTATATTAAATACCAATTACTTTAACAGAAGGAAAAAAAATTTTCTTAAATATCACTCACCAATTTGGGCTGGAGAAAATTTAAAGTGTATTATAACCCCGAAAACTCACGGGCTAAATTTATGAAATTTAAATGGCCAAAAATTAAAATTTAAAAAAGATTTTCTGAGGGGTTTTTGAAATTGTGTTGTCCAGTCGTGATTTCTCAAATTATTTCAGGAAGCAATCCAAAAAAATTTCCCCTTAATTTTAGAGGTGTCAGCCCCCAAATTTAACCTCTAGAGACGAAAAATTCCTTTTCCCCTCACACCAACGTTTTAACAATTTTTTAAAAACCCAAAATGGCGGTCCCGTTGCACCCGACGAAAGGGTTTCCCTTTTCTATGGATAAATATTTTTAAATTTCAGTATGGGCCTTTTATTTACATATAAATTTCTGAAAATTTTGGGAAAAAATTTACAGTATTTTCCCCCATTTTAATTATTCTTTAAATTTTTTAAAATACAGTCCACAAAATTTTTTTATTTACCAGTTTTCCTGGTGTAAAGTATATTTCATTTAAAATTAAAAGGTCCCGGAACTTTTTGGGTTTTGACAAATTTGGGAGGTTCGAAGGGGGACATTTTTTTTTCGACCCAGGGTCCCAAATTCCTACTTGTCTTTTGTAAAAAATGGGTTAAAATTAATTTTATTTTTGTTATAAATTTTTTGTTTTGTATATAAAGAGTTAATTTAGATAAATGCAATTTTCACATTTAATTTCCCCGTTGGTCCTTTCTTGAACCGGAGGTAATTAGTGAAGTCATTAATTAGTAATTATTAATAATTATATGTGAAATAACAGAAGGAGGTGGATGTTAAGTTCAAAAATTTACTTAATGTGTGGGATTAAAATAATTACAATATTAAATTTTTGATAAGCAAGCTCAAATCTGGCTAAGTTCATATTAATTTGTATAATATTAATTGATAAGACAATTCTGGCCAAGATTATATCAGGTATGTGTAATTGATAAGACAAGTGTGGAAAAAAAGATTATATTGTGTATAATATTAATTTTGTTATGCCAAATTCTGGCAAGGATTTATTAATTTGTATAATATTAATTTTGATGAGCCAAGTTTGTATTAATGTACATTTAAAATTTATATTACAATTTTTTACATGTAATTGCTGGTTCAAGTAGCTGGGATTTATTCAAAGGTGGGTTGTTGTCAGTGTTGTGAGTTGTAATCAGTGTTTTAAGTTGAATTTAATACATTGCATCATGGTTTGAAAATGAGGAAATTAATATAGAAGACAAAATATGGAATATAGAGTAAGAAAGCATCAATACAGGCTAGAAAAAGTTCTTCAAACCAAGGCATATAATAAGTGCTTGGAATTAATGAATCAAGAAACGTGAATACTGATGATTTAAAATTGTTTTTAGATGTTTTGGGGAATAGATATATGCATACAAATTATATTACAACAAATATGAAGGAGATTTATTAGTAAAACTGTGTAGATGGGGACTGAAATAGATCTCATGATTAATCAGTATTATGAAATTAAAGGAAAAGATTCTTTCTTGTAAAAGTCAGGGCCCTTTAATAAATTAAAAAAGTGTAAACCAGGGAGTTAATCAGTCTGCTCCAACAAATAATATGTCTTTGCCCAAACTCCCAGAATTATGTTTACCTGTATTTAATCTGGTGAAAATTTTGGGGGGAATTTTGGTCAATCTTTAAAACAGCTGTGCATGAAAGGAGTACCTAGCCTGTGTAACTAAATTATTTTACCTCAAAGGACAGGTAAGAGATGCCTTTACATACTCATACAAGCCTTTCCCAATGTAAATGACTCTTACAAGGAAGCAGTTTTTTCTTGTTGAAAAATCACTTATGGTAATATAGAAAAAAGTAGGTTGGATTAGTAATATTATTGTTAATTTTAAAAACTCCAGATCACACTTACAAAGGTTTACAGCAGTTTAGAGTTTAAACTGGAGAGCACTCTCAAAACTTTAGTAATAAATTATAATTGAAGGAATCAGGGCTGGTTATTGAGTGCCATGGTACAGATAAATTAAGCTGTAAAACACTTGAATGGCTCTCCAACAAATATCACAAGAGTTATTTTGATCTGGAGGAAATAAGAATAGGTCTAAAGAATTAATTGCTCAGCTACATTCACTCTTGTCTTCCCTTCAGTTTTCCACCTTTTTATGTTCATGTAGCATCTCACTTTTCCCCACCCCCAGGGAAGTTCCAGCTGTTCGGGTCTGTTCTTTCTCACTCCCTTGCTCGAAGCTCAACTGCCTACGTGGCTTCCCGCTCTCTTTTTTTCTTGATCACTTCCACTCCCATTCTCATGCCACCGCTGTGTACACAGATGGCTCTAAGTCTTCAGACGGCGTCGGATTCGCAGCAGTGTTTCCGGACAGCGTCGTGCGGGGACATTTACTATCTTCAGCTTTGCATTTTTCTGCTGAAATGTATGCCATTCTTACAGCACTTTA